GACAGTTTAACCTTTGAAAGATTCCTAGCTTGGATTTAACAGGGATGCTTTTCTGAATTTGCCAAATTCCTTAGTCAGCACATTTGGGCCAAAACTTTCTGCAGAACCTGTTCTCCTGAAATTTCTAGCATTTCCAGTTTCAGCCCCTGTGGAAAATATTCAGAGGGCATTTTATTGAACTGTTTTCCTTTGCTGTGACTGGTCCGGCCATAAACCAGAAGCAAACTCACTCAACTACTTCAGTACATCAAAAGAAAAGAAAAGAAAAGAAACCTGGGGTGAAATTCAGTTCTAAAAATGGCAGAAGGTGGAAGGCGCAGGTGGATGGCTCCCTCATCCCTGCATTTTGTGAAACCAAGGAGTGCTTTGAGATATATCCATCAGGAATTGATAATTTTTAAAAAAATACTGTTGGTGGAAAATCCCATTTTTGTCAAAACGAAAACAATTTTTGATGACATTTTTGATAAAAAAAGGAATGAAAAAGTTTAGCTTGCTTGGATTTTTTTGTGGGGAAATTACATATTTCCCTAGAAATTGATAGTGCAAATACAGTTTAATTACCCCCAGTTAGTGACAGAGTTATGGTATTAAATTAACCCACTCGTTCTCAACCTTTGTAGACTCAAGGCCCCCCTTGGAAAATGCCAGTTCAGACCCTTCTCTCCCTGCACACATGTATTGCTTCAGGACAAGGAAGAGAAGATCCCAAGATGTGGGGCTCCTCAACTCCATCCTGTGAAAAGTGTCAGCTCCTGAAAGGTGGTGAGGGGTAGCAGGGGAAGAGTTCTGCCTACTTCATGCAGCAGCCCTGATAGCCTACTCTTCCCCAGGAGGGGGCCAAGTGGACCATGCAGCCAATCAGAGGGGATTTCTTCCCCAGGTAGAGCTGCAGTTCTCAAGAAGGCTGGACTTTCTCCCATCACCAAGACTGGCTTCAGCACCGGCCAAAAATCATGTGATTCATAAGAATGGCAAAACTTGAAATGTGAAATTAACCAATGTTGATAACATCCGGGCAAGACGACTTGTATGCATTAACCCTCCCTTCTCCTCACCCTGCACTCTGTTTTAATGTTAACATTAATGTTTTACAGTTAGGGTGGCCAAAATCTGGAACCAACTTCCCAGGGAAGTGGTCCTTGCCCCTACCTTGGGCAAATTCAAGAGGAGGTTGGACAATCACCTGTCTGGGGTCTTGTGACTCCAGCATTCATTCCTGCCTGTGGCAGGGGGTCAGGCTAGATGATCTGTTCAGGTCCCTCCTGACCCTAGCTACTATGAAACTATGAAACTATGAAATGTCATCTCAGTGTAACTGCTTATTTGAATTAAACAGAGTTCTTTAATAGGTTGCAGAGATTCCCTTTGATGTTATTGGGGATGACACTTAAGCCTAGAGGCCAATGATTATCACATTATAACCCACCCAGTCATTCTGAAAAACTACTGACTAGATTGGAAAACTCTTCAATTGTTAGGTATGGATTTGCATCTTGGAGACGGATCTTGGAGATGCTGATGTGGGTAAAGCAACACAGCATTTATGGTTCTTGTCCTTTCTGGTAACAAAAGCGAGGAGGTCCATGGCTGTGACAATGCCAAATACCATCTGCTTCATGAAGGATCTGCCATCTCCATTGACTGCAACAACATAGGAAGCTTAGTTACTGGGACATATGAAAAAGCAATTTGAAGACTGCTGTGATTTATGAAGAGAAGACCTCAGATGGGCCTAATTCATCCTTGCTATAACTCCAATATAGGGGATGAAGGTGCAACTCAACTACAGTGAGTGGAAGCACCCCACAGATGTATTCAGCTGCAAATATTGAATTCTTTACTGCTGTAATGAGTCTCTTTTGGCACTTGGGCTTATGAGATACCTGTTCCAATTGCTTCTGCTCCTGCTTTCTCTACCCCAAATTGTTTCAGCTGAAGATAACAATATTTTTTTAAAGAAACAATACCTGCATGTATGAACTATCCTTCTGCCTCACTGCATCTCTCATAATGCTGTACAGTGTCAAGCTCAAACAGTACAAAGTGTAAGAAATCATTTTTAAAGCCCTCTTAAGATCAGACAAATCATTTGAGAGTGTTTAAATAAAAGACCAAGGGCATTTTGGTTAAGAAAGTCAGTTGAGGAAAGTAATAAATATAAGGGCCAGCTATGATACTGTGTGTGTGAGGGGGGAAGGGGTGATGAGCTAAGTACATCTTGTTGGGATTTTTTTAAATTACTGTTGGTGAAAAATTCCATTTTTGTCAAAATGAAAACAATTTTTGAAGGCATTTTTGACCAAAAAAAGGAATGAAAAAGTTTAGCTTGCTTGGATTTTTTTGCGGGGAAATCAAATATTTCCCTAGAAAGCTTTGAATGAAATATTTTTGCAACATTTAAGGTTATTTTTTAACCATCTCTAAAGTGAGGATGGATGGTGGGAGGGAAGGGGCACCAAAGAAAAGGGACCATCAACAGGGCCTTACCAGACCTAGTGTTCAATGTGTTAGGGTTGGAGGATGCATTTGGATTTAAAGGTCTGGCCTCAGCCTGCTGGCCTGACCCTCAAGCTACAGGCCACTTGCTGATAAACCTGTCAACATGGCACAGTATTTCACTAGCTAACGCACACAAGTTTGGATGCTGCATGTCCTCCCATAGGGCCAGAATCAGCACGCCTTGAGGTTCTTGTGTTACCCAGAGTGCAGGTATCTTAACTGCTTTGTTGTGTCAGTGAAATTTTAAACAAAGCAGCTCCCTCAAGGAAAGGCCTAGTCCTCCCTTGAAAAGCTTTACATTATAACTATGTGGTTAGCAAATAGCTACGTTAAGGCTCCTCCTGCTTCTCCTAGTGCCACTGTACCTAGGGTTTCAGAAATGGCTGGACGGCCTGTGGTCCCAGGACAATGCAGAGTCAAAGGGCAAAATCCCTCAAGCAAGAGGAGTATGGGGGTTGCACGTGCTGCTGCAATGTTGCCTTGATGTTGTTGTCCTGGCCTAAAGGAGTGGATTCCACCCTACCCGTCTCCTGAAAATGCCTCTGCAGGAGTTGGAGCCCTCTGGCTGGGTTCAGAGCCCACAGCCTGGCTTTTTAGGAACCCCTTCCTTTCATCCATTAAAAGATACCTACATTGGATTTGCTCGTGTACAACAATAGCAAAATGGTCATTCTCAAGGATGCAGGAGAGCTTCCCCAGGCTGTCATCTAAACTAATCTGAAGACAAGAAACAAAAAGAAAAGAGGCATTGAAGCACTTCATTTTGGGGATACCACTGGGGACCCAGTTCCTCAGTTCCTTGCTTTAAAGCAGTGGTTTTCAATCTTTTTTTCATTTGTGGATCTGTAAAAAATTTCAAATGCAGGTGTGGACCCCTTGAAATTGTATGTGTGGGTATTCACATAGTTGTGATTGATTGTAGTAATTTTTCGTGACCCCTTAGACATGGTCTGCAGACCATAGGATGAAATCCACTTTTAAAGTGCTCAGGGCAGTGCTGACATGAAGTGAGGCAATACCAGAATCACATGTGGCTCCTGCAGGTGGAGCACTTGGGGGGTGGGGGGGACACACATGCATGCAAGCGTGGACACACACATTGCTTTGTTGGCATGTGGCATCCCTTTCTTCTTTGCATGCCACATGCACAAAGGACTAGACTAGGTCAATCAACACTTGTTGGGGATGTGGACCGCTGACATCAACCTTACCCAGGCCTCCCTCCTTTGCACAGCTACACAGGGCCGGGTGTAATCTAAGCCTTCCTCAGACAAGTCAGGAAATAGAATACTTCAGAGGCACGTGCTCTGGTACCATTTCTACACTGTGAGCAGAGTCCCCAAACTGACAACTGTGCAAGGATCAAACATAGACCACACGCATGGAATATACAAGAATCTCTAACAGAAAATAATCCTTCTGTCTTCCTTGAATAAAATCTTGACTGACCACACCCTACTGGCTCTGCAGCACTTTTACATGATCCTATTTGCATTCTTTCTCCCCAGATCAGTTCCCTGTTCCAAACTCATTCACACTTTCCCTTCTTCTTACTCACCTTCCCTTTCTCTTTTCCCTGCTCTCACTCAGCTCATCTACCTCTTTTTCTCCCCAATTGCTCTCTTTGGCATTGTGTTGTGCCTCACTCACCCTCCTTGAAACACTGAAACAGAGACGATAACAGCAGTACCTTTGCAAATTGGTCGTAGATGACCTTGATGACTGAGTCTGAGAACTGAGCGCTCCCAGCCAGTACAGAGGAGAGGATGTTACTGAGAGTCACCATTCCCAAAATGAGACTGCAAAAGAACAGAGACATTTTCAAAACAGTCAGGGTTGAGGTGGTGAAGTGATTAAACTGAGGTCAATCCTGCTGCCTCTGAATTCAATACAACATGCCCATTTTCTTCAAGTGCTCATTATTCACCTGAGCATCTTGTGCTGTCTCTTCCAAGGTAGCTTCTATTGGTGTCTAACAGCATAAAAAAATCTCAAAGATTATTCTGCTGTTAAGCCTCCTTTTCCTTTCACCTGCCTCTTCCTTGGTTGTGATTTTAGCCATTTCCTTTATGATATAATCAGTTTCCATTGTAGCAGGACACATTTCTGATTTGTGCACCATCTGGTGTAGAAACAGCCCAGCTGCCATTCATAGCATGGAAATAACAACCATGTAACATTTAGATGCTAAAAGAGAGAAAGATGGGATATGACTTCAGACTAGAAATTTCCCATTTCAAAGCCAGAGCCTGGAGCCAGATCAGGCCTAGCTATGATACAGGAAAAGCTCAAATGGTTTAGCCAGTGGAGCATTCAATTGTATTTCCATCTGTTATGGTGACTGGACAACTAAAGCATGGCAGGTGCGATCATTATAAGGATGCTATCCCTCAAAAAAGTGCTTTTAACAGCAGTTGAAGACTAAAATTTGCAACCCAGAATTCAGCTGGTCTGAGGAAAGTGTGAGCTTCCTACCATTTACCAGTGTTTCACATGCATCCCTTCCTTTCACTGAACACTCCATCGATTAGAGATCTGACCCAACCGCCATTTGTTTCCATAGGCAGCCAGTTTTTCCTCAAAAACTGCATTATTACTGGCTATGGCAAAAATACAGACTTTAAAAAGACACTAGGGGCATGTCCAAATGAGTGGGAATGTGTGCTCTGCAGCACCTCAAAGGCTTTTGACACACGCTGCACATGTGAAAAGGTTCTCCATTTGCAGCACAGAGCCAAAATTTGATACCTGGAAATCCTAGTATGTTGGAAAAAAAATTAACAAAAAAAAAAGTGAGGTGGTGCACATGGCTGCAGTGTGCACTGCCTGAAAACAGAGCCTGGCCAGCAAGAGCCATGCTCTGGCTGCCGACCAGGCTCTGTGCACCCAGATTGCCACTGCTGCAGTCCCAGGAGGCCCGCGGTTGTGCAAGGGCGTTCCGAGGGGACAAGTAATAGTGGCACAACTATGTGACGCTATTATTTGTCCCTGGGGAAACACACATGCATGCTTGTGGGGATGCACCCTGCTGGTTTATCCTAAAAAGTCAGTATCCACACAACCAACAAAATAGATACCCTGATTCAGCAACCACGGGTGCCTGGTCATATCCCTTCTCCCGCATGATTTCAATTGCCTTCTGACAGTTGACTTCTGGGAGAAGAATCAGAGGGGCTGACAGATTCAGCTTCTGCACCTTGATATTCCACCACCTATTCAACAATAAGAGCAACCCATTACTATCTACAAGTGGCAGTCGTTTGTGTGGCTGCCTCTGAGCTGCAGCCTGTCCTGTTTAAACAGAACACTCTTGGATGCATGCAAAAGGAGAGGCAGATTTAAATCTTCCCATGTTGACTCTGAGGTGTAACAGGGCAAGCACGAGCCCTGTCTAAAGGATGAAGCCAGCCAGGCACTGAGCACTGTGACCCTGATGCAGCAAAGCACTGCAGAAAATATTTAACTTAGAGCATGTGAATAGAGACCAACTGGCTTCTCCTTCTCCTTGTTCTCTAGGCTCAGATTTGTAAATCCATCAGAAGGAGGGAGGCATGCAGAGTACTTGGCATGGCTTTGGGAGGACTGGATACTCCTGTTCTCTGTAAGCAGAAGAACATCTCCAAGTCAGAAGTTATTCAACAGTAGGATGCCCTTCAGTCTAATGGTCTAACAGCATCCACCTGCCAGAAACTGGTAACAGGCACCTCCAAAGTGAGAACCGGATGAAACTTTTGAAACAGCAGGAGCTTATACTATCTTCCAAACAGCAACTGCTCCTTTCTGGGCCATATCAAAAAGCAGAGAGATTCATATTTTATAGAGAGGACAAGGGGTAACCCTTCAACCTTGCCATAATAGGTTGAATAACTCTCTTTTTAAAAGGACTGGATCCCATTATCTATTTATCATATTCTTTCAGCTACTTGCCAATGCTGAGAGAATATTTCCCTCTGAGTGAATGCAGAACGGGATCGCCTTACCAAGGCTTGTGCTCCTGGCCATCCGTTAGAAATCCATTCTTTATCATCCACTTATCATTCAAAAACTTGGACCTAGGAATTAACAGTGAAGGAGAGAGGTCTGTTACTCATCCAAGAAGAAACTGTACTTTGTTTTGTTTAATGTGCTCTGTGCATTTAGAGGTTGATTTAAGCTGCAGGTGCTTGGTAACTCCTAAGAACATGCTCATTGCTTATGGACTTACTCTTAGGCTCATGAGTCTGAAAACTGTAGCCTGGATTTTTCCTGGACCATGCAGCAAGTTAGATGTGAAATGAAGAGTCTCCAGCCCCTTGTTCTTCCTACTATAATATAACACTGACCTCTTACGCGCCCATTCCTGTGAAGATTATGAAGAAGCCTCTGAGTTGGTGAGCTGACTCTTACTCACTGCTCTGTGTCACCACTTTACCTGATTTCAAAATTGTTATGCTGGTGAAAACCCAGTGAAACAGGCTGGTGGTAAAAGCCCTTCAGGTTCTCTCCTCTGCTTGCCAACTCTGATATAGTTGCTGCCTGTGCCATCGAGAATTTCTCACCAATTGTATATGGGGCATACTATTCACTGGATCTACAAATGTGACCTCCATTGATATGGCATTGCCAGACTGTTGCTTCTGTGATACCAGCAAGTGAGAAGCAGAGCAGGAAATAGGGTCTTACATATAGTTCCTGACAGAGTCGGGCAAGATGACAACACAGCGCTGACCCTCCTTCAGATCCTTAGCAGCCTTCACAGCGATGGACATGGCGCTGCCTGAGCTGCCGCCTGATATAGAAACAAATACACAAACAAAAGGCATATGCAAGAACTAAGGATATGCTGTTATATAAAACACCCTAACACATAAGCTATCCTAAAAAACATCCGAAAGCTAATTCATGGGCAGTGACTCTCTAGCTGCAATCACCCGCAACTTTTGGCCCACAGTGTGGTAATGAGATATTGAATCTTTAAGGCTTTTTTTTCTCCTTGCTCTCACTAACACCAGTATGTATTGGGAGTAACTCCACCAAAGCCAGCTCAGTTAAAATGGCACATGTGAGAAGAGACTTAGACCTATAATCATATATGTTGCTAGTTCAAGCAGAGCTGAGGGAGTTCTCCACAGAGACCAGGGACATGCCCAGGTAATAGCTCTTGAATGGACAATGCGAGTAGTAATCCCGCTCTAGCTTTTGGAGTCGTCATAAAAAGCCCCCATCATAAATGGCCATTTGTGGGCAGTCCCTGCAGATAGGTCAAGACTTCAAAGGGCCTTAGGACAGGTCAAGACTTCTAAGGGAGTTCACTTGAACTTAAAGTTCACATGAACTCTCTTAGAGCCTTTAAGCTGGCTCCTTCAGGTCAGGGGGTGGACTGGTTGGGGGTCTGGTTGGGAGGAGTTCATATAGCTGGTGCCTACACTGTACCTTTTCTGCACATGAAGAGAACATTTAGTTCTCCAGACATGTTGGGCATTTTACAAAAATGTAATGCCTTGTGGGAAAAAAAAAAGAAAATTAAAATGGCAGTCATACTTGGCATACCAGCCAGTGACAGGATGAGTGGCCTCTACCTTCCTTTATCAGTGCAAGACAGTGTGTATGGTTCCATGCACGTAGCTGAAAAAAGCTTTTACTTGCTAATTATGTTACAAAATCCACAGGGCCATATTCACCCCTCAAGCCATAAGTGGTACTGCTGAGTTGTACATGCACTAGAGACAGTACCTCTCTATTTATTGCTTGTTCATTGGAGCTGAGTCAATCCTTCTGGAAAAAACATTAATTTGCAGTTTTGTGGAAACTACAACTATTGTCAAATTCGAGTCAAAATCAGTGAACAATTTCAGCCAAAAAAAAGTTTCAAAATATTGAGCAATTCTGTTTGGACATTTTCTACACAAAATGTTTCATTTTGGAAATGCTAAAAAAATCTCAGAGCAACATTTTCAGATGGCAACATTATGTCTTTTCATCTCAACATGGCATTTTCATTACATAATTGACTCAATTAAAAATGTTGGTGATTTTGCTTAAGATTCCCTCCCCCACTTTTTGATTCAGTAACCAAACTGAAAAGCCCATTATTCTACCAGCATTGATAATGACTTTGTGGTGATCAGGACAGCTACTGATCTTGCCCTTTTTTTTTTCATTTAAATTGGCTTTGGGTTCATTTCTTTACTCAGTTTGCTGTGTGCAAGTCAGCTGCATCTTACACTGGGCATAGATTCATAGACTCATAGATGCTAGGGTCGGAAGGGACCTCAATAGATCATTGAGTCCGACCCCCTGCATAGGCAGGGAAGAGTGCTGGGTTCAGATGACCCCAGCCAGATGCCTATCTAACCTCCTCTTGAAGGCCCCCAGGGTAGGGGAGAGCCCCACCTCCCTTGGGAGCCCATTCAGACCTTGGCTACTCTAACTGTGAAGAAGTTCTTCCTAATGTCTAGTCTAAATCTGCTCTCTGCTAGCTTGTGGCCATTATTTCTTGTCACCTCCGGGGGCGCCTGGGTGAGTAAAGCCTCACCAATTCCCCTCTGTGCCCCCGTGATGAACTTATAGGCAGCCACAAGGGGGGCCCTCAACCTTCTCTTGCGGAGGCTGAAGAGGTCCAGGTGCCCCAGTCTCTCCTCATAGGGCTTGGCCCGCAAGCCCTTAACCATACGAATAGCCCTTCTCTGGACCCTCTCCAGGTTATCCACATCCCTCTTGAAGTGTGGCGCCCAAAACTGCACGCAGTATTCCAACTGTTTGAAACTCTGGCTGCCACTGCCTCCCACTCTGTGTTTGTAGACACCTGCACTGCTCCTTCAGGAGGTGATAGCAGAGGGTATGCCCCCATGGTGGTTCTGAATCCCAACAAGACTTGCCCATTTGCTCCCTCTCGGCACATGCTGAGCATGCTGGACAAAAGTGATGTGTAGTCATTTTTAGGCAAGCATGTCCAGCACTGATCTCAGGAGCATGCCTGAGACTGACACCCCTGAGAGTGTCCATAAGCATCTGCAAAAAAAGGGACCACATGAAATTGTTCTGGCAAATGATGCATGTGGAGTGGGAGTGAGTTGGTACGGCTTGTTTCTCTGGGGTCTAACATGGAGGTGATAAACATATACCTTGAATCTCCCAGTTGTTGTCTTAGGGTGTAGTTATATACCAGCCAACCGACCATCATGCTGGTCAGGAAGAGAAGAGAAGGGCCCTTTGGATTTCAGAACTGGTTCTGCTCTGGGTGGCACTCCACTGGCCTCAAAAGGGAATCTGACCCACATTTCTTCACTGCTAAATGTAACAATTTTGCAAAATGAGCTCAAGTGCCTTTTTCCAAATGAACAGTCTAGTACAGGCTTTTGGGCCCTATATGACCCAAACTCTCAGGCAGTTTAATGGCAGATTGTCACTTTAGCATTTCTAAGACAATTTCCTTAGCTTTGTAGATACTGTCCTTTGAAAGACAGAAGTCCATCTGTTAAGATGACCTTCAACTCCCATGGCTGTAAGAAGACACTTAGATACTGGTATTTGCACAGCTACAAAGCCAAAGTTTTCAACCTTGACAGCCTAAAGTGAGATCCCCCCTAAATCCAACTTGAGGCATCTAAATAAAAGTGGCCTGATTTTGCTAGTGCTGAGCACCTGCAGGTGATGTCAGTTGGATGAGTAGGGGCTCCGAACTTCTTTAGCGCCCAGGATGAGCCCTCCTATTGACTGGCACATGACTTGAACCTAAGTATATCTGGACCCTGGGCATGAGTACAACCAGCTGCAAAGTACTGATGCCCTGTGCAGTGTTACTACTACTTGTTTTTAAAACAATGGTTGAGCAAGGACACCTGTTCCTTTGGGGAAGCTGTTCTGGTACTAGGACAGAGAGAAACACTATGTAAGAAAGTCTAACTCTTACTTTATGCTTTGAACTTCCCTGCTCCAGCCCTAGCTCCCTGTGTATGGCAACAGTCCAGAGCCAGCAACTATAGCTGTCATCGTAGCTGATGTGATGGAGCCTGTGGTTTTCAGTCCACCTGCCTTGCTCTGAATCCCACTAATCCTTCCCCTCGGCTCATCTAACACTGAACTGAATCCTTCCCCCTCCCCCACGGTAAGGCCCAGTGGAACCAATGCCTTGTGCAAAACCTGAGATGAGATCACTGTTATTTTGTGTGCAAGTCAGATCCTCAGCTGCTAGGAAGCACTGCAGCTCTATTGAAGCCAATGGAGCTGTGCTGCCTTATACCCCATCAAGATTTGGGATTATTAGTTTAGCACTAACAGTAGGCTCAGGAGTATGCAAGACAGAAAACACAGGGAGTGCCTGGCCTTAAGGTATTTCTAGTCTAGAACGTTTAACAGAATGGTTCAACTGAAAAAAATGGTTCTTAATAGACATTGCGCTCCTCAATAACTCTTACCACACAGCAATCCTTCCTCTCTAATCAGCCTGCGAGCCATGAGAAAGGAGTCTCTGTCATTGCACTTGTACCACTGATCCACCACCTGAAAGGAAAAGGGGAAAGATTTTAGGGCCTTGGATATATTATTTCAGGCCCCCATCCCCCATCTTTGATGCATCTACTATGTATGGGCACAAGGCCTGGGCAACCTTCCTGAAGGGGCCCCATCTCTAATTATAGTACTATACTTACTGATCTATCCAGGACAGTTGGGATAAAGTCATGGCCAATACCCTCCACTTCCATGTCTGAGTCCTCTGTTGTGTTCAGCTCACTGGGCAGGGCAACGATGGAGCCTTCAGGGTCCACACCAATGACCTGAGAGGTAAAAACTGCTGAACAATGGAGCAGACACACCTCCAGTGAAAAACTGCTTATGTTCCTGTGATCATAGACAGCTGCAGCATATTCTGGCCTGGACCCACAGTACCTTTTATCCTGGGAATTTTCTCTCTCATCAGATTTACAATTAGTTTGGAGAGGAATGAGAGGCTAGAGAGCCTGGTACTTGGTAATAAGGCTCTGAAGCCTCATACTTCTAAACCACTAGTTTGAATCCAGTTCCAAGTGAGAGTCACTGAAAGTTGTTACTATCCAAAGTGAACTGCATTTGTACATTTCCTGACTCTTAATAAAAGAATAAATGTAAACTCTAACAATCAGGCTGCTGGCCCAATCCAATCATGATGGGGCGGGGGACAGGGGCATAACTTTAAGAGCACTAGTCTAGTCCTGTTGTGCAGCAGACATTATCTGCCAATTCCTCCACACAGAGCTGCCTTCCCACCTACTTTGCATTCTGGGCATTTCTCCTTCAGCTTTCGGGCAATACCGGTGACAGTGCCTCCTGTGCCAGATCCAGCCACTACCATGTGTACCTTGCCTGCAGTTGAAAGAGTCAAGAAACACTGAGAGATTAAGCACATTCTGCAGGTCTATTTTATGTAGTCATTACAACCATTTTATATATGGCTTATATGTACAGGCATTCTGTTTAGAAAACTGGGCAGCATTCATGCCAGTGACCAGAAGTACGCTAGCGCTGCAATACCCCAATGCATTCGTTCCACATTATGCATTCCTATATTGGTTTGCATTTTCATAGGAGATTATTAACTCCACCCTTAGGAACTGTACAACACTGAAACTCCGCATGCACTGGTTCAGCTGGTTTTAGGATCTTACATGCCCAAGAGAACCTAATTCTGCTCTGCTACTGATGTGAGTCAGGAACCACACCACTGACACCAATATCTTTACAGGAATGTAAACCTGTTGGATGTGAGAACACAGCCTGGCTTTCAGAATTGGGGTCAGTAATTTCACTAGCAAAAGTGCGAGCTATAATTTACCAATGGCAGCTGCTAGTGCTAGCAAAGATATAGGCTGTCATGTAGGCAGGGCTCAGGTTTTCTGGCTAATATTGTCTTTTAACCCTGCTCAGGCCATTTAAGAATCCCATCTACACAAGGCTGTTCCTGTCACTAGCAACTGTTTCCATTTCTCCTGAGCAGATATAGGCTGAACGCCTTTTTTACCCTCCTCCAGCCCTCATATTGCATGGGATTAGTCTCTTCAGCTATTGCAAAGTTTTGATCCTCATTAATTTGCTAATGACTAGCAAAGTAATTTGCTAATGACTAGCTAAAACTGTCCAATTTTCTAAGGGATGAGTTACAGTAAGCTGTTTGCTCTTACAGATTTATGCTTCCACTGAGGCCTGCCTTTTGTGCCTCTGAGCTGACCAATGACAGTAATACCATAATAGCAGATAGATGGACACCTCCATTTTTCGGTCCCTCACTGTTTCATTTCCATATAGTCCCTTTGCTACACTGCCAAAATAGAAAGCAAGCAGAGGCAGAGCTGAGTCAAACTGGCACAAACAGAGAGGACACTGCTGCTCTGGTAATTCCCGCCAGGAACCCCCTACTTTGCAAATGGCTTCTTCCCTTTGTCCAGAGTAGCCTGAATTGTTGAGCCTTGGGGCATGTGGCAAAGCTCACCTTGCTTATCCCTCAGGCTTTTAAATATGGAGGGGAGTTGTAATGGCAAAGAAATGGAAGTGAACGTGAGATCTTGAATCATAAACTCAGAGAGTAACTTGAATCACAGAGTCATCTAGTCACGCAGACCTCACAAAAATCATCTAGAGCAGCTTCCTGCCTAAATTCAGTTCTTAACCCCCCCCAGCCAGATGCCTCCCCAGCCTCTTCTTGAAAATCTTCAAGAACAGACCACCTCAGCTAGATGCCTACCCAGCCTCTTCTTGAAAATCTTCAAGAACAGAGATTCCACAACTTTTCTAGACAGATTGTTTCACTAGTCTATGGCTCTAACAATTAGGAAATCTTTCTTGAGATTTCAGTGGATTTGTACCAAGTTATGTTGAACTGCTGCACATAGGGTGTGTTTTTAAGCCGTATCAAGGGTGACTTTACGTATAGAGGCTCTGTTTAGCATGGCTCTGCATTTAATTAGATGAGTATAGTAACCTAACTCTCCCCAAGAGAGTACATGAACATGATAGAACAAATGGTACCTTCACACTGCTCCAGGATCTCCTCAGCTGTGGTGTCATAATGAGCCAGCGGGTTGCTCGCATTTCGGTACTGTTTATTTCAGAAAACAGTGCATATTACTGTTAAAAAGGTGGGTCAGATGAACTAGCAATAGCTACAGAAGCATTTCAGTGAAAGCACACAAATGTCCCCCTCCCTGGACCATATAACTTTGCACTGCAGTCTTACCAAGACCTTGTGAGATGTTCTCAGCTGACTAGTAACTTTGGGCCAGACACTATTTAAGGCACTTTGGTGCTGTGCTCCAACTGACTCCAATCAAGCTAGATGCCTAAATACCTTTAAAAATCTGGCCGTTTGTGTCCGGGGGAATGAGGCCAATGAAGGAACAGACAAGAAGTCTAAACTAACGTCTCCTGCCTGGAGGCAATGCTGAATGTGGTGCCTGAGCAGGTGACCCTTGTAGCATAGAGAAGTGAGGGAACAGCTTTTCCTACCATGTCCTGTGCTGTCTAAGCCAGTGGTGCTCAACCTCTGGCTTACAGGCCAGATCTGGCCCATGGAGCCATGTCATTTGGCCCACGGGGCTACCCATGGGTTCAGAAATTTGGCAGTTATTGCTGTTATCGCTGCCACTGCTTCCCTACCACCACATTTCCAAACCCTGTGGTGAGGTGACATGGCACTGTGCACCAGATCTGGCCATTGTGTGGGGCTGGTGCAGCAGGCCCCATCTGGCACATGTGTGGAGCTGGGGTGGCAGGCACATATGCTGATGCCATGCCGGATTGGGCCCACGGACCAATCCTGTGGACCAGCTCTGGCCTGCAAACCAACCCTGCACCACTCATTCAGCCCACAGGCTGGAAAGGTTGGGCACCATTGGTCTGAGGCTAAATTTTCACACATGGTTTCCAATGGTTTCAGTTAGGCCTACACTTCTATTTTAAAGAAGCTGTAAAATACATCTCAACCTGAGCAGGATCAAAATATGCTCAAAATCCCCACTTTGGCCCTGATGCCACAGGCTGTGAACATACTGTATATGTGGTTTTTGCAGTCTAGGACTCACAGGATGAGTAACCAGCCCATGTGCATCACACAAAAATGGCCCACTGATCAAGTCTGGCTTAGGTTTAAATTGAGACAAAGCCCTCAAATTAGGAAATTTTCTGTGAACGGAAACAATAAGAAAAAACAATCGTATTGACTGAAACATTTTGTTCTGACTTTACTTTTTAAAAGGATATTAGAATGTAAAACAGCACTGATTTTTTTTTAACCCAAATGTTATTACAAAAAGAAACCCCCCAAAGCACTCTTTGAGAAATGGCATAAGAAAGCGTGTTTCTACATCACTGAATTTTTTTTTCTTTACTTCCAAAGAAAATTTGGCAAACATTGATGTGATTCCATGCAGCATTTTGATTAGCTAGAAGTACATTTTCCAATGACAGAAGTTTTTCCAACGCTCTGAAGCCAAGTGATAAAGATGGGTAGACTCAGGATCCATAAAATCCAGACTTAGAAGGAGAACCTGCAGAGTAACTGAATTTACCTGGTCCAGAATGTGGGAGTTTGGGATTTCCTTTTTCAGCCTCCAAGCAACACGGACATTAGACTCAGGGGCATCAAACCTGGCACCTGGAGTCCTAACAATTTCAGCACCAAGAGCCCTTAGTATATCCACCTTTAAGGGAAAAAGCAGACATCATGACGCTGATCTCCTGCACTGCAGGTAACCTGAACCTATGAATTCATGTCAGTCTCAAAAGCCAGATGGTGCTTTGCATTCATAAGACATTTAACATTTAGAGTGATTTAGTGTCCGATTCTCAGTTACAAGAATGCTCTTTGACATTGTTCTGGCACAGAGGGATGTGTAGAGCTGGCATATGGTTTCTAAATTGTCCCTGTTCCCAGTCTTTGCAGTGTGGGGGTGGGGTTGAGAAGTTGCACAGAGCTGGCCTGCACCCTCTGCTTCCCAGGGCCCATAAAGGAGCATAGACAAAGCATAAAACAGGAACCCTGGAGCTCTTCTAAGGCAACCCATGAGGGGGGCAGGCCTGAGAACAGCCCCAGAACCAAGAGAGTGGAAAGGTATCTTAAAACTATATGTGCACCCTAATCCCCTTTCACTTGGGAAAGGAGTAACAGGGTAAAATTTTTTATCAACAGACTCTTGTCTAGTGATGACAACAAGAGGGCTGAATGTCACAGCTCTGGGGGACTGGACTATTACAGTTGAGCTGAAGAAGTTGTGTTAGATCCAAATTAGGTTTAGGGGAAGGTTGGTAATTGAGGTTGGTTTTCTGATTATGTTTAGGCTAGGATTTGCGGGTTCAGGTTTGACCTGTCAGGGCCAGGGATCTGCTTTCAAGTCACTGTGCACATCTACATGAGATGTTATGTCACTATAGTGACAAGCTACGGCAACATAGTGTCAGTGGACACAAATTGTGATGCTGATGCTACTGCGCAGTAGCAACAAGTTACTGCGCAGTAGCTCATTGCTACTGCTCAGTAGGGTCGGAAATGACCCATGCACCACTGGGACTGTGCAGGAACGGTGGTTACTGTGTAGTCATTTAGTACTTGCTAATTTAGTACTTGTCATTTAGTCATTTAGTACTAAAGCTCATCACTACAGCAACGTAGTGTCTCATGTAGACATGCCCAGTGACTTCAAACAAGAGTCCTGTCCCTGACAGGTCAAACCTGAACCTGCAAATCCTAGCCTAAACCTAATCAGACAACCAAGCTTATTGCCTACCTTCCCCTAAACCTAATCTGGATCTAACACAACTTCTTCACCTCAGTTGCAATAGTCCAGTTCCCAAGAGCTCCGACTTGCTAAAGCAAGTACTAAATGACTGCTCAGTAACAACTGCGCAGTTGGGGGCACGTGTACCTGTGCCCACTGGTTCTAATCTTGTAAACTGTTTTTCTGGGGGGTGGGTGGTTGAGAGGGGGTTGTTTGGTGGGATTTGGGCGCTCACAAGATTCTGCGAGATTTCTTCTATCTTGATGACTGAGATCTTGCAAATGCCTCCCTTCTAAGGGGGTTTCTGGCATCTTGAGAAATCTGCTTGACACCGTTGTGAGGTGGCTGTAACTAGCTTAAGTTTAGACAGAGGGCAACAGAGGTATGGAGAGGTTAACTCACTTGCCTGAAGACACACAGGAACCTAGCAGAACTGTAAATAGCACCCAGGAGCTCTGCATACCTTTGTACTAACCATCACACCCTCTCACAGAAACACAGCTGTATCACCTTTGCTGTGTGCAGAAATGTACCATATTTGGCTAATGACTGCACCAGCTGCACAGAGATAATCAGTCAGATTTGCATAGTCCACTCTCATTGTCAAGAGGAAATCTTTGAACAACTGCAAAGATATGTCATTATTCTCAATGAAGCTTATTACCCTTTAAAGGAAATGGGCTCATTAGATCTTGAGAGAGAATCAGAGACAGAAACAGGGGGAGAGGCAGAAAGTGCGAGTGCTTTCTCCAGGACTAGGGTTTCAGTGTAATACCATACAGGACGCTGACCTTCTCCAAGCTCATTTTCTCCGGCAGCACAATGATGCAGCGATAGCCTTTCACTGCAGCCACCAGCGCCAGTCCGATTCCTAGGAAGCAGGGGAGGAAAAGGGGTTATTGGATGACAGTGTTCAGCAAGGTCAGCCAGGACTTAGGCTCTCTGGTGCTTCCTATGTTCAGCTCTCTCAATGGTAAATGTAATGTGAATTTTTGTTTAAAAGCTAAATAACAGGGCCCCCTCTCTGAGGCTTTTTGACTGCTCTCTGAAAGCCAGAGTGAAGGAGGATGTTCCAGTTCAAGTGTTTATTTATATGTCTCTGCATCTCAGAGAGTAAAGAAAAAGCAATTTAATTTCACAGTGCACCAAGCAAAGTGAACAGTGAGGCTGAGCAGGTTTTTTCGACACTTAACAAAGCTCACCCCCTCATTTGCCATGTGTGTAGGTTCAGTACCACAGGAAAGAAGTCACTTCACTGAAATGGCTCCCTGTTCTCTTCCAAACTGCTTCATACCCTTCCCGAATACCTGACTTGGGTGCACATGGGACAAAGCTGCATATGTGCTAAGCTCTTGCTAAGGCTAGCTGGCAAAGTGCATCTGTGATCTAGTTGCACACCACATGACTGACAGAGCCAGCTGTTCCACAGCTAGGGTGGGAAAAGTGAGGCCTGAATCAGCATGAGAGGATGCATGACGTGTCCCTATAACATGGTTTCTGTGCTTGGGAACGCTGCGGAAGAAACCTGCATCCTTCCCTGCCTACTTCATAGGTTAACTATGCCCTGTAGCCTGTCGCAAGACTGATAGAAACAGCTTTAATGTTAGATCCAGGTCAAACAGACAGAGAAAACAGACATAAAGAAACTCCTAGCTAGCAGCCTGGAGTGTGGGCTCAACTGGACCATTCAGGAACAGACTGGCCCTGGGGTCAGCAGGGAAGTCACACCACCGCTAAGGGAATGCAGGCAGGAATGTTGCCTCTGTGCCAACTGAAGGGACACTGAGGGGTGCCGAACCCCCTCCCCAACAGATGCATTGCATCCGGTAACACACCCTTCCAAAAGGTACAGCATATTCCCTAGCCCACCCTCTCTCCCTGCTTGTTTTGTTATGCATGCCGGTGAAGGGGAAGAGGGATGGGCATACACCAAGGAAACAGGAACAGGGTAGCCTGTGGCCAGTTGTGTCCACTCCTTCTACAGGCTGCAGAACAGCTCCAGAACTTCTTCTGCCTCTCACACTTCTGTCTCCCATGCATGGCCTGTCACAGTCTGCAGGTAGACTAAGGCAACAACATATGGCAGAAACAGGAAAAATGATGGCTAACTGGCAAGGGGGGAGGCAGGGAAATTCCCTTGTGGAAACTTCCTCTCTAACTATTTAGTAATTTCCCAGCCAGGACGCTTCTTCTACTACCTGCATGGTCACAAAGTAACCACACAGTCATTCCACACCCTTGACATCCTTGGTTTTAACTAGAGGTGCACCGATACATCGGTCCGATACTGGATCTGTACCAATATAAAGAAAATTTGCTGCATCGGATATTGGCCCAACGATCAGCATGGTGAGGGAAGGAGGGGGCAGGGGCAGGGGCACAGGATGGAGCTGCGGCTCATAGTGGGGGAGGCAGCTTCCACTGCTGCTTGCACCCTGGGAGGGTGGTAGGGGGTGGGGACCCCAGGGATCTGCGCAGGGTGGGTTGCATCCAGGGCCACACAGGACTCTTTTCAGCAGGGGCTGGGCTCAGAGCAGGCACCAGTGGTGCTGAGAGGGGCTGCAGTGAAATTTGAGGTGGCTGCAGCCCCCTCCCAGTGTCTTCTCTGTACCCACCCCTGCCAAGAAGAGCCCAACGCAGCACTGGAAGAGCCTTGGAGCAGGCACTGGTGGCACTGGGAGGGTGCTGCATCCACCCCAAATTTTGCCACAGCTCCGCTCCCAGCACTGCTGCCACCAACAGCTGCCTGGCACAACCTCGGCTCTTCCCAGCATGTGGGTGGAGGAAGGACATGGAGCCGGGCTGCACCTGGCGATGTGGGGCTGGGAGCAGAGCTGTGGCAAAATTTGGGGTGGCTACAGCCCCTCCCAGTGCCACTGGTGCCTACTCTGAGCCCAGCCCCTGCTGAGAAGAGCCATGCAGCGCCAGCTCCAGCCCACCTGCTCTGCACAGATCCAGGGGGCACCCCCTTGCCCTCCTGGGGTACTGTACTAACAGCGGCAGGACCCCACCCCTCATGAGCCACGTCTCCGTTCCACGCCCCCGCCCCTCCCTTGGCAATGCCTGCCCCTGTCCCCTCCCTCCCTCACCATGGGGGCACTGATCTGCTCCCCCCATGCCCCTTCCCTCCCCCAGCCCCTTCCACCACAGCAGACTTACCACCTGGAGGCAGCTGTATCGGATATCGAATCGGTATTAGCCGATATGCCTCCTTAAATATCAGCTATTGGTATCGGCCCCCAAAATATCTATCGGTGCACCCCTAGTTGTAACCCGTAAGGTATCTCAGTGGTAAAATTCCTCAGAGAGTTTGTGCGCCCTGGTGCACTGTGACACCCAGGCATACCCGGGAGGTGAGCTGAGGACAGAGACAAGATTATAAGGCCCAAGGCTAATCACCAGCCTGTTCCACGTAAGAACATGACACACCAGTTTGCCATTGCACACCAGGTAAAATTCCATTACCAAGTTTCCCTTTGCAAACATGAGAAAAACATGAAGCCCCAGAGTGAGTAGAAAAGGAGAAAACAGCATTTAACAGAAAAGGCTTTATGCGTCTGATTTCTTCTCTCCCCGTCATGGTAGGAGGTGAAAGGCTTCATAAAGTTCCATCCTACCACTCCTATTCCCCTTAGATATCAGGCTATCTATTCCATAACCGGGCCATCCAAATACAGATCCACAGAGTACACCTCCTACCTGTGTTTCCAGATGTTGGCTCAATCAATGTGTCTCCAGGCTTTATAATCCCAGCTCTTTCTGCATCTTCTATCATCCGCAAGCTGATTCGGTCCTTCACACTGCCCCCAGCATTGAAGTATTCACACTTTGCCACTGGGATTCAAAGATGAATCCAAATCATAAAAAATGAACAATCAACCCCCGCCCCCCCCCCATATCCTGCTCTACAGTGCTCAACTGAATCCCTCTTAGCAAATTCCTAGAGGATCTTAAATCCATCACTATGTAATTCTTCTACACAGAGGAATGCACCAGATTTTCACAGCTGCTCATATTCCCCTACCTGCCAAGGGTCCAGGAGTCTGCCATTGTAAACATGCATTAGGAAACCCTCCCCATACATTGCACTCAGCAGCACTCTAGGAAGCAGAAGGGCTGGGAGGGGGCAAGGAGCATTAGAAAGGCAAGGGCATTTTGCACATGTCATTTTGTGCTGTTTTTCCTATGTTAATGAATAGAATGACATTGTTGTTGATTGTGAGGTAGAGTCTGATACAGTCACCTGGGTCAAGTAGGCGCTGATTTCGCTCCCATTGAAATCTAGGGGACTTTTAATATCTGTCCCAGCCGGATTAGGACCCTATGTCATGAGAGGACCCACTGAAGTCAGTGGGGGTAGGGATGAACATGGGAACATAAGGCTGGAAGGGTCCTCCTGAGAATCCTCCTAACAGCTATAAGGAACAATTTCTGAAACCCCACGATCACCACCCCAGAGGTATAACTGGCCCGTCCTGCACCCTGGCTGGTGGCAGTGCATGGTGCAGGGGCAGTGTCTGGAAGCTCATGCTGCAGGGGTAGACATCACCTCTTTTTAGTCACAGACCTGTGCCAAGCATCCATTTAAACACCAATTTTTAGCAGTAAGAAAAGGAAGTGACATCTCACCATGCAGCAGCAAAGTTCCAGCTGCTGCCCTTGCCCTCTGAGCTGCTGTCAGGCCCATCACCGATCCCTGCAGCTGGAACCAGAGACTGAGCAGCCCCAGAGCCCAAGCATAGGAGGTTTAGGGTACAGAGAGAGAGACTCAGAAGACAGAGGATGGGAGGTGTAGGAGCTTCCCTGGCTCCATTCTGGTGCCTTCCCTGTAGGCAATGCTGGTGGCTTGGCCCCAGCTTTTACCAGTTTTATGTCACAGGGTGATCCAATAGCATAGCAATGGATGCATTGCTATGCTATTGGATCACCCTGTGACATAAAACTGGTAAAAGCTGGGGAGACAAGGGCACTGCCAGTGCCCGGCCATTGACTTAGTTCCTACTCAGTGGACACGTCTACACAAGACATTTACTGTCAGTTGACTAATTAACTGAGCAGTAAACGTCTCTGCATCTACATATGCACCCCTATTAGGGTGCACAAAACTAATTAACTATACAGCAAGATAGCTTTGTAAAATACAAGTACTACTCTGCTCTGCAGTTTTTTTGTGAGCAGCAGTGCACATGTAGATGCTGCCCTGGCTGGTGGGGCCCAGGGTGCTTCAGTGTGGGGTTACCCAGCAAGTAGCCCCCATGCTGAGGCACACTGTGCCTCAGCCAGCCACAGAGCAGCAGGCAGAAATGGGGGAGCAGCCAGCTTAGGGTTGTTCCCCGTCTCCGTGTGCTGCACACATGGTGGCTATTGGATCACCCTGTGACATAAAACTGGTAAAAGCTGGGGAGATAAGGGCACTGCTTGGAGCTGTTCCCCATCTCCCAGCCAGCACACCTCCCAGTCTCCATGTGCTGCTCCACAGCTGGCTGGGGCACAGTATGCCTCAGCGCAGGGCCTGCCTGCTCCATAGTTTTTTGCTCCCAGGTGCACGGTCAAATGGCATGCCTGGGAGAAAAAAACTCCAGAGCAATGAACTCCACAGTTTATTGGTCTGGATTAATTCCACATGTAGACGTGCCCAGTGTGAATAACAGTAACACAGTCTGGCCCAATTTGTCAAAGGCCAACAATGGGCTTAATGCCACACCTGACATGAAGGAAACATGTCTCCAGCCTCAAGGAATTTATAGCCGGCGTCTGTCACTCTTAGTCTAATACAGGAGTTGTTAGTACTTCATCCTGAAATGAAGGCCCTCAAGGAAAGATGCAGAAGAAAAATGTACCTTTAGCTACTATTACTTTCTGATGAGTTAAACTGGCAAAACCAGGTTACAGAGATACTCCACAATGCAGAAAGACTGCAAGGAATGCATTACGGTTTTCAACCACTGTTAAAATTACTGCAATCATTCATTTATGTTGCAGTGTACTTTGCATTGACTGCCAGGTGTTATAAAAGACGGCATAAGTTGGAAGGCAGGGCAGAATGGCACCTTATAGACTAACTTGTTTAGAGAGGCATGAGCTTTCAGAGGCTACATGCCATGAGGGGTTCACTTCCACTTTTGCTCCAGCTTGGGGAGACATCACTCTGGAAAATCGTGGGCTGTTTTTTTGCTTGTTGCCTTTTTGAACAAAGGCTTTTTACTTCACTTCAGGACTTACCTGAGGGGGAGGCTGTCTAGGATATGGATGGTCTGCCATGTTTTACTAACTTTGCTCCCATCCAGCCTCTCAACCACACACTCAGCCTACCAATACTGGTACAGGTGTCCTGCACCAAAGGAAAATAAACTGGAAAACATTTTACCATCTCGAAGCAAATGGTAAAAATGGGGAATCCAGATGGGAACAGTATTCAAGAGACTCATGAAAAAGGAACATTTTAGCTTTGTTAGCATGGAGACATTAGGACAATAAGTACTTGCGCTTCCTCTGATTTTCTTGAGCACTTGCTCTGCTGCAAGCCTACACATACCTGCAAGCTATGACTTACCAAAAGGCTAGCAAACTCTCAAGAGAAGTTAAAGAAGATGAGAGAAGAGATACTCAGTGAACTAGGAACCAAGAAGGCAGAAGGGTGGCAGGATGGTTTCCTGGAGCAGTCTGATAGGTTCAAAAGGAAGTTCCTGGTCCTGGAAACACACATGGTGCAGAGGCAAAGGTCAAACATGACAACCCAACCTTGCCATGCTGTGAAAACAAGGACCACACACCATACTGAGAGTACCCTTTCACTCTCACAGACTGCAGGCCCTCAGCTCACAGGTCATACCCCTGGAGAACAAGAATGTTTTCAAGCACCTCACCTACACAAGTAGATGGGTATTTGGCACCATAGGCAAGTCACTGTTCCACAACTCCTAAGCCTGCACCACATTCTTTATTACCTACAAAGGTTTTTTTTAAGTCAAGCTGTAGGATTTATTAATGCAATATATACTTGGACAACTGTGGTGAAAAATTTCACTAAGGAGCAGCTCTCCTCCCACCAAATACAGACCATTCCCCCATAGTGACAACCCCAAACCATATCAGCCTCCCAAAATACTGTAGTTATTCCTTTAGTTACAAGATATTAGTTACTCAGGCCTCAAACTCAAAGCAATACATTCCTGACCTAGATTCCTTAACTAGTTGGGACAGTCTATAGAAAGACCATCTCCAGAGGTTTGTGATGTTCTGAAAATCTCAAACTCATCCTCCTACCCACCAGAGAGGCTATCTTTCCAGCTCAGAGATGTTTTGCAAAATGAAGTGAACACTTATCACACAAGGCACATCATAAGAAGTGCCCAACCTTGCCCAGAGGTACCTCTATTTTCCCTTTAGGCTTCCAAACACACAATCCACTGTCATTTCCCTGCTACTCGCAATAAAATTAAACTGCTCCGTTATGTAATCCTTGGGGATGTCCACACCACAGCAGATATCCCAAGGGCCTAGTATCATAGGAAAGTAGGGATGGAAGGGACCTCATAAGCTCATCTAGCCCCCTGCTTAAGGTAGGATTTACCCTGACTAGACCATCTCAGCCAAGTGTCTGTCTAACTTGCTCTTGAAAATTTCCAGAGATGGAGATTCCACTTCTCCAGGCAGCCTGTCCTATTGCTTGACCACCCTCATAGTCAGGAAGTTCCTCCTAGAAAAAGATTCTTAAGTGGGGGAGTAGAGAGTCAGCTGGGTCTCCCAGGATGACCGGGGAACTCCTAACTCCATTCATCTCCAGAGAAACATGGGGAACAAAAATTATCTTGCTCATACAAGAGAACAAGCATGAGTTGCTAAGGATTCTGGCATCACAGACCTTCCCTGACCACTCCACCTTAATCATGGTGAACTTTCAAATAGGCTTTGCAGGACCATGGACATATACCTCTCCCTACTGACAGTCAGAGGTCTGGTGTGCAGGGGGAAAAAGAATAGGCATGTGGGTCTCAGCCATTGCCTCTGTTCAGTCTGGAAGCACCATCTATTCAGAGCTGACAGTAACCTCCTATGCAGTGCAAAGCTTTATGACACAGTCCAGCAGCATGTTCCAAAGAGCATTTTAGGCCCCCATGCCAACCTCCAGAACAACTGATTTACCAGCACCAAACTGGTTAGGTGCCAATGGTTAGGGGTAGGGGTGCCAGGTGACCATGGCTGCCTACTTTTCCATGCTTATGCTGGTGATTTGCCACTGCAGCTGCAGGATGAGCTCTGATAATCTCTAGATTCTCAGCTCTCCATGGAAGCAGCCTTGTGCCTCCACGTGTTCTGCTTATTGCTGCTCTTGGGCCTACTTCTGCATTGCTACCCTGTGCCACCAATCCAATGCAGTCAGCTGAACCCAGAAGCAAGCCACACTCCACAAAGCAAATGTGCTTTGGATGAATGCCTTGCACAAGCATCTGCTCCGTTTCACCCTCCTGTTCCTCCCTTAGTTGCAGCAGCACCCCATGGCAGCCCAAGCACTTCCAAGCTGCCAACACTAACTCCTACAATTGTATGACTCCTATGACTATGTGTGTGCCTCAGCCTATTCATATTAATGGCACATGGCCAATGGCTTCTCAATGTTGCCTGACATTAGGTTAAACATTGGACTGCTAAAATACAGATGAGTTATGGGTTTCCAGAAGGAGAACCATGAGGGAAGAGGGGCTGCTGTTGTGTAATTACTTATTACTAGTTTCATAGTTTCATAGTTGGTAGGGTCAGAAGGGACCTGAGCAGATCAACAAGTCCAACCCCCTGCCATGGCAGGAAAGAGTACTGGGATCAAACGACTCTGG